TCGATTTTGCTGCGGGAGAATCTTCCTGAAGAAGAAGTTACCTATCTCAAGTGTGCAGCTAACAGCATCTATGGAGGCGCAGCGGACACAGCCAGTTGTTCCATTACTGCCATTGGCTTACGCTCATCTCTAAACTAGACGGCCTGCGCTGTATACACCTTTTTCTTGCAAATGGCTCTCCACCCAGAAATCCAGGCGAATGCACAAGCGGAACTCGACGCAGTCATTGGAAACCATAGGCTTCCGGGTTACGAAGATCGAGAGTACCTGCCTTATATCAACGCAATTGTCAAAGAGGTCCGCTCAAATTGTTTCATCATGCAGACACATCTCATCCTTTGCCAGGTTTTCCGCTTTCATCCTGTCGGTCCGATGGGCAAGTGCCTTCTCTCTTCCGCTTGTACGCATTCATTACTTAGTGAAAATGCATAGGTCTGCCTCACTGCGCAGTGGAAAACGACATCCAGAACGGCTATCTGATTCCGAAAGGTCGGTCAAATCTTCCGCACATAATTGTCTTCTGATTCTTGTCAATATCAGGGTCGGTAGTCCTCGCGAATATATGGTAATTAATCATGAAGTTGCGTCAGGAAATTAACGAGTAATCCGACGAACGCAGGAGCATGGCCCACGACCCGGAAGTTTATGCTGACCCTTGGGTATTCAACCCATCCCGATTTATTGCCTCCGATGGACACACTCCCGAACCTGATCCTCGAGATCTCGTTTTTGGATTCGGGCGACGGTGCGTCTTGTGTTTTCGAGAGCAGATTAAGATCTCGAGCCCTTCTATAGTGTCTGCCCAGGTTCGTATAGCATTTCTTCCTTTCTTTGCTTTACTCACAAACACAGGTAAACTCATCGCGGACGCTTCTGTCTTCATTGTGTGTGCAATGACGCTGGCAATTTTCACGATATCCAAGGCTGTCAAAGACGGAGAGATAATCGAGCCGGTCGAAGACTACGAATCGGGAACCATAAGGTCTAAGCTATAGCCTGAAATTTTTGAATGCGTCTCTGACGACAGTTTAGTGGACCGGCTCCGTTTATGTGCTCCATAAAGCCTCGTTCTGATGATGCGGTGGCTCTGATTTCGTAATTTCCTTTTTTGGACGTTGGACGAGCTATGTTTGGCTTTGTTATTTCAAGTTGATTGCATCCTCTATTTCACAAAAAGCGATTAAAAGCACACGAGTGTCGACAGTCCACATGGCGGAAGGGTCTAGGCCAACTGGGCTATATTTCGCTGCGAATCCTGTGCCAGTAAACGCGGCAGACAGATATAGCTTCGTGGTACTTGTGGCCGAGTTATAATTATCAAGGTCTCTAAAAATACGTGTTGCCGACAAATCGCTGCAATGTGAGACCACAGGAAATATCAAACGCACTGAATTATATACGAGGCAATCGAACTTCTGTGAGAACATATTTATTTTGCGCACAACTCCAGAGGTATTTTTGCCTCCCCATGTTTACACGTTGCGAAAAACCTCCTCCGTGCTTTCCGATGTCTTTACCGCTGTCCCAAGAACACTGAGCCTTGCGTACTCTGGTAGACGGTTTCTTGAACTCCTGAAGTACTGTTGTCTCCCACTTGAGATCGGAGTATAGGTTGCTCCTTCATGGTGATGTTCGCCTGCGCGCAATACAGCAGCCGGAGCGCGCAGCAGTCGGACGTCCACGACGAGCCCATACACTTCGTATGTAGTCCAATCCACCAAGTACGGTACACGTTCCAATGGGCTGCCTTGCGCGACCGCACGAGAGTCACAGCTGCGCAACTCGCGGGGCATCCATCACCGTCGTGGACGCCGCAGCGTGTGCTGCCAAGAAGTCCGGATCGCGTCCCGAGCCTTTAAGCACTTGAGCCTCCACGATGAGCGTACAGCAGCGGCGCCGCCTCGGCGTGGATCTGTCGGCACACACACAGCAGGTCCGGCGGCGACAGCGGGCTCGGTTCTCTAGCTTACGGCAGCAGATGGATGGCAGGTAGCTCGCTTCGACCAGTTCGTGAGTGAGGGGGTCTACTGTCAGGGACCTGTTCGGCCCTCATCAGAAGTCGGCTGCAGGATTCGATTCAAATTTTGAGGCGAATCTCGGGAGGGAGAGAAGGCCATTCTAGTGTGATTGTGCTTCCACAAGAGAAGAGTCCCTAGGATGCGCACGACATAATACCTTGCAACTTGAAGTGAACGCTGTAGAATCACGATATTTGAGTCGGGTGTCGCGCTGCCTTGCTAACCAGGCACCACACAAGGATGCAACGCACGATGACTGGCTGCTGGCCCGGGTGAGACCAACGAGAAAAGCAGAAAAAATTAGTCGCTCCAAATTCTGTTGACACGGCTCGTACACCTCTACTAAACAATCAAAATCCCTCTGTCCGCCGTACTTGAGCACAATATCGAAGCCGCCTCCAGGCGCATTAATTTTGTTTGTAACATCTATTCGTTTTTAGTTTGGTGCTTCGAGTTCTGTGCTGTCCCATTCTGATGTTTACCAGTCTTCGTCGGATCGAATCGCTTCCGCAGGGCCGAGACCATCTTCGCGAGCCTGTGATGTGCGCGGTCGCCGTAAATGTCCGAAAAGATTCAGAAGAGGGCAAAAACGGACCAGAACCAGTTGAGGCCTTGGAGAAGCACGTTGCCTACGCTTATCAATACGACAGCTGTGGTCGAGATGTCGTCCCTGCGTTCGTACAATGTATGAAAGAATTGGTACGACTGGGTTGCCCTTTAGAAACCGAGAGGTGGAATCAAAAAGTTTCGTACCGTGTAGCCACCGTACACTATGCGCACAAAAAGAATGTCAGGATGAGGCAAACACCGTTAACGAGCTGGAGGGCGCCGCCAGTAAGGTCTAACTTGTCAAGCGCCCTGTTGACGATGAATATGAGGCAGCATCAGCTGCGAAGAGCGTATACCAGTGGATGTTGAGGAAGAATGTGCTCCTACGAACGGATTAGCATAGAACTCTGAATTCCCAGTAAAGTTCGTACGCTTCCCATAAAAGACATCTCGAGGCATAGTACGCAAGAAATGGTTGCTATCAGGATGCGGTTAATCAGGTATGGAGACGTCGATGAAAGAGGCAGACTTACAAAAGACAGAAAATAGATCGCAAAGCATGCAGCGCCGTGCAACACGAAACCGATGTCTTCGAAATTGAAGATAGCGTCGAAGAAGTCCCACAGAAAGTAGCTGTGTAGAGAGTTCGAAACAATGAGGGGGAACGAAGGCTGGACTGGGACCTACGCGGCCGCAACGGCCTGTACCGTTCCACTGCGATCATGCCAGCCGAAGACGCGGTCGGCGTCTAACTCGGGTAGCATAAAACACCGCAGTGCAAGGGGCAAAATGATGACTGCGTGGATCTGTGAAGCTATGTGGATCGCCCTGCGGACACTGAGAGGACTGCTGCGCGAGAAACAGCAGACTATACCAGTTATTCCGTTTGCGCGCCCCCATGCGCGTCCATTGTGTCGGGAAAGCGACGCGAGCAGCCAACGGGACCACGACAAGATGAATTAGAGTGAAAAAAGCAAAGGATGCGAGAAAGGTGGGGAGGTGGGGGCGAAGTTTTGGGAGAGCGTGGTCTAGGGCCTTGTGTAGGTCCATGAGGGACTAAAAGAAACGCGGTTTTACAGCCCATCGTGGCCGTGTGGAAGCAATCAATTGCCGATCATTCGGCAATATACGGCCGGACGACTGCGGTAGGGCCGAGGCTCAAATTTTTGTCACTCTTAACCTCGTAACACGGTCCGAAACGCGCCAGTTTCTGTATTACTGCTACTGATATTGTGAGCCTCGTAACCTCGGCTGGGAAGGAACCTAGTCACCTACTGCAACGTCCCTTGCCGCAGTGGTCGGAAAACCATGTCACGATCACGGGATGTGGCAATACGTTGAACCACCACTATGATCGACTACGCGTTGTTCCCCCCTCTTCCAAAATATGGGAACCGTCTTAGTTTGTACATTGACGCGTCTTACTTGTGCAGCGTCTCACCGGACGCCCAGACCCGCCTCCACCCAGCAGCACCCAGCCGTGAGCTTCAAGGGGTGTTTGTTCGACGGCTGGATCTTGGATCCTTCACTTTTTGGCTCGCCAACTCGGCTCGGCTTCACAGACGGCAGTGGCATCACTCCCGAGCCCCCGACTACTGCGATGGAGGCCTACGACACTTTCCGTTTCGTCATAATTGGGCTGGACCTTGCGACAGGGATTCATCTTGAACGGTTCTCAGGCTGCCCATGGTTTGCGTACATGGCCGAACCCTCAAAACCTCTGGGAGATGTGTGATCTGTCCTTGACGACGCCGACAAGATTCCCTCTGTCATCAGTCTTCAGGAATTGGAAGAATATTGGATCTACCGAGCACGCCTCAATCGATCCTGGCCCGGCGTTGGTCCTCTGAGGTGTGTGTGTTTTAGTACAATGTTCCATATACTCTCCCTTACCTACCGCAACAGGAAGCCAAAGCTTTCACGAAGAAATGGGTGGAATCTCAACCCGAAATCTATTTTCCTTTCTGGTGTGATCATCTGGTTAGCAAACCCTTCAATAGATCTTTGATAAAATGCTGATGTTGAGCTGCAGGCCCAGAAGCGCGCTACTTATTAATTGTTGTCCTAGCATATGTTTTTTTGGTAAGTTTCAAGTACCAAGGATTCTGATATGCAATGACAAAGCTGAATCATAATTACACAGTACACGTACTCTCTATTCCCTCTTTAATGTCAGTTTTCACATTGAGACTCAGATCGGAAACGCTCCAAATTGAAGACAATCTCGGCAAGCTTCGAGCGGGAGGTGTGTAGTGAGATTGAGAACAGGACTTTTGTTGTCCTCAACCGTTCCCTCTATAGATCAATCATCTCTGTGTCGAGCATTGCAATGCGTGTGCGGTGACATTTTGGAGCTGTTTCTGCTTGAATGTAGGTCCGTAAGTGAGTAACGCCACTAAATGATAGAGGTCAACTAGCACTATTTTTTGCGAAGGCCCAATGGTCTAGAAGTATGATACTGCCTTCGGGTTTCCCGCTTACACGACGTGAGCGTACTTGGGAGTGGCCCCGGGTTCAATTCCCGGTTGGGCCCTTTTTTCAATCATCTGAAGCCCATTTTTCCACCGACTGACTCAACATGAATTTAGGTGGATGGTGGATGATTTATAAAAAATTTGATTGAGCCCAAGATAAAATCAACAGATTGTACAGGCCGGCTTTACACGATCACAAAGTCTGTGCTTCAAATTGCCACGCCGAGGCCGTGTTCGATACTGCCATCTGGAGAATCCAGAACGAGCGGACCATTTGGACCATAATATGCTGTCGTGTATCCATGTGTACAAACTTGAAGGTTCAATGAAACAAGGGTCAAACTGCCAGCGCTCAGGAATCCGGCGCCTTCGGGGAGAGAGTGGGAGCTACGAGGGGAGGTAAACACGCAGGATTGTGGACGTCGAAATCTAATAACGCGGTGTACACGAGGCGAAGTAAGTATGTTGAAATTTGATGATCACGATCAGCGGAGTTTCAAACGGCTTTGGGCTCGCTACTCACCATCTCACAGTCACTCACACCGTCCTGTGGCCACTTGTCTTTCTTTATATCTTTAGTCACTTGGTATCAACTCGACGTCATTTAAACATCGCAGTCCCTGAATTCTGTGGGGAGTAAAGTCTCGTCACAGTCCGCTTCTGCGCTCTTCTGCGACATCACATCAACTCAGGCTCTATTCTCGTCTCCCCAATGTATTGTCGCGACAAAATATCTCTTGGGGATCTACCAACCAACGGCATCCACGCATTATCCGGCCGTCCATCGAATATCTGTCAAGTTAATACATGCACCTTCGGGATCACTTCTTCGTGCCCCCTTCAAGCTCCCCGGAGGATACACGACACCTGGCTACATCTTGTGCACAGGTGAGATGCAGGATCGTGTGACGCCCCGCTCACAACCCGCACAGTCAATGATTTGTCCTTCTGGCTTGGTATCCCAGGCCCCCTTCATGCGGACGCAACAACTCACCTGTGACACGCATGCCGCTTGCCCGGGCCTGGCGCATATTTTGGGCCGCATTTTCCTTGATTCTACTTGCTAGAATGGCCAAAGTTCACAAGAATTCACATCGGCATAACTCTACCCGAAACAAAGATCCAGTCTGCTGCGCATAGTCCAGAATATCACCCACCCCAAAGATTTACCTTCCGGCGTGGCGATAGACGCGCTCTTGATACGAATATTCTGTTACATACCTCGAATTACCCCGCAATTCTTTGTGGAGATTGTCGATATCTACGCAATGATGCGACGCTTCGTGCCCGGTGCTGCTTCGGGTCTTGTACTGCTTCGCACTTCCTGCACTGAATTCGGCGCACACGTCGATTCATTCGCGTCCGGGATCTCTCCGCGATCTGAAAGAAGGACGTGTCGCCGTGGGCACCCTCCCAGTCGTGCACATCTCCGGGTACCCACCTCGTTCCCGCCATTCAATGGAACGAATCTCGTGGTCCCGTGCCTGTGGTAATCTTTTCAAAAATGCATCCCTGCTGTGCTCGGCGGAGGGGTGGGGACCAGCCAATTCATCCTGGGACCGCAAAGAAAATCGAAAATACTCCGTCTTTGCACCCTTCCCGCGACGGCGAGCGATATTAGTCGCTTCTAAGTTCTGGTTCTTTCCTCGTAGGCCCTCAGATTCGTGCAATCCCTCCAATCCTGCCCTGCAGAAAATACTTTGGCGCGTGCACACACAGCGTGACCCTCTGTCGTCGGACATCGTCGGACATATCCGACGATCGTTCAAATATTACCATTTCCCGCCACCGACGCTCCACACCAGGGAATTTCAAACCCACCCACCCCCTTCCCTCCGCTCCCGGACGACGTTAATCACCCGTTGTAATAACGGATCCTAACCAAGCGATGTCTTGTGCCTGTCCGCTCTCGACGCCTCGAGATCAGGATCGCCCCGCCATCACTTGATAATTGATTTAGACCTTGTACCTGCATTCAATTCTACCATGGTCAGTTCCTGTCTCTGCTGTCCTTATTCTTCATTCAGACTAGGCGCATCATGAAACTATGGAGTGTGAATGCGCAGCAGTCACGCACGGCTCGGTGTTTTCGCCATCAGACCGAAAAATGTTTGTATTACTACTATCAAATTTTGGTTTTCTTTAGTTTTGACTCCCCAACTGTCTTATCTATAGACGCTAATAACTGCACAGCCCCGTCCCGACCTCATCCCGACGACACCGAATTTGGATGTGGAATTGCTCAATCCGTATGAGGCGGGGCACCAACATCGGTGCATAGACCCGCGGATGCATATCAGCGCCCATTCTGGACCTTATCTGAACCCTCGGACCGCACAATGTAGGCGCGCCAGGATCCAACCTCGAACCCCCTCGTCCCGTCCGCGTTGCGATGCATCTATGTGATTTGAACTACTATCTAACTGCACGCTGTCTGTCTGTCTATCCGATCAACTGCTCAGCTTACTTCTCCTAGTACAATCTCGTCTTGCACAATGCATCCGCTTCAAAGTTCATCATCGCTCTCAAACCAATAAGGAATTTTTTAATGAAAAAAATGTCAAACCGGAGCGGCTGGCATATGCAACAAATGTGGCGCCCGTGGCGGCTCTCCTGACCGCTCGGACAAGACGAGATAGACCTGGGCACACGATTATTTGTTTGATGTCTTGCCGTTCGTACGAAACTAGTGTGTGATATGACGGTGACTTGACGAAAACCTCAGCCTCCTGACGCGACTCTAACGCAATCTCAGGCACACGATGTATTTTCATGCCGGAAAAATCTATCAGTCACTTTTTTTATCTATCCCGCCGAAGCCCAGCCGCAGCCATCTCTCTTTTTCTGAATCCTGATGGGCCGAGCCGCCAGTTTGAACGCGAATATCGTGACAGCCGTGCCGTTGCCCCCCCCTGGCGGCGTACTTTTTCTGGAGTCCCTGGACTAACACAAGATCTATCAAGTGCAAAGCCTTTCGTGCCCACAATAATGATTGCGTCTATGTTACTTCAAATACTTGGCCGATAAATAATCGGTCATCAACCAAAATCGCGGCCATGCACGGAACACTAGATAAGGGGACATGTTCAGCCGACTCAAACCCGGACGCACGCCGTGAATTTCGAATTTTCACGGAATTAACGACAAAAAAGAAACAAAGACAGACACGAAACGTACTCGGAAAACAAAAACGCCGCGTCCCTCGCGATATGATTGCGACACATACGAACATACGACGCCCACAATTTAACCCCATTGATATAATTTCCTTACCCAGGCCGATGGACGAGGAGAATGGAACGGATTGCAGTGCAGAGAACTCGGGACACACGTACCGGAAACCGGAAGCTTGGCAGCGAAAAACACAATTAGAGTTGACCAGTCGACGAACGAGTCGTGCGAATAAGATGGATGGTCCCAGGCGCGCCTGCGCCGGCGTGCCTCTTTGCGAACGTGTCTCGCCGGCGCACGAGTCTGATTGAGAAGAAAGAAGAAAATTTGGCGTACTATGTCGAGAGGGGTCGACGCGAATAATCAATCAAGTTGTTGAACGTCGACGCGCCTCCGAACGGCGAGGAGTGTATTAACAGACCAGAATAGCGGAGCTCGGTCCGACCGCGATTCTAGGTTGTAAGTCCAAGTTTGCGTTGCGGTTGCGTAACTGGTTTGGGCTAGCTGTCAAGAACGATTAAGGGGAGGCCCCGGAACGCGCGCCGGGGATCGGCGGCGACGATGGGAGGGCGAATGATGCGGAATTGCTCCAAGTAATAAGAAAAAATCGCCGTTTTGAACGTGCGGTGCGGCGTCAGCGATTGAGGAAATTCCGACGAGCGAGGAGTACTCAGCTTCAAAGTTGACGCGAACGCGAGAAGGGGCTTGATTGTGCGCCGCGCGCCGCCAAGTACTCCTGTTGCATGTGGTCCTGCACAGGGCACTTTGCCGCCGAAAATCTTGGGTTTAGAAGAAAGGAGAGGCGGCTTAATTAATTATTCCACGCGCCTCCGAGCTTCGGAAGGTGAAGGGGGTTAATTAATGTTGTTGGTCCGTTAACTTTGCAACGCACGATGCGCCTACAACTCAAGTAATTGCGAGGGATGGTGTCATCACCATCGGAACGCGCACCGAACGCCCGAGCGAGCGAACGAACTTTAAACTGGTCGAGAGCAGGGGTTCCATTTCGATTCGATTCGAGGCGGCTCTAGCTATCGAGGACTTGAATCAACATCAGGCTGGAAGTGAAAAGGTTGAGGGGGCCGATCCGGGCCACGCACGCGATGTGCGTGCTAGCGCTTGGACAAGGGGTCGATCCGCACGAAGCAAGCCTGAGGTAAAGCTCGGACTTGGGTTCGGGCGAGTCGCATCATGCCACGATACGCGGCAGTCGTCGCAGTCCATGGATGGACGTGAACGTGGCAACCCGACGCAAATTGCAAGGACGGAAACCCATACCACGCGCGGATCCAAATAAAGCAAAGGCAGTGTCGATATCGGTATATTCGAACGCAAATCTTGACGCGAATGAAGAAAGGAGAAAGATTGCGGGGTCATAAGGCAGGTACATAGATGCAATTCCGAATCGCCATGTCCTGAATTTTATTTGCCGGAGTGCGAGGTTGCAAACCTTAGTTGTTTCCCGCCCTTCGAAACCCGAGGCCAGACAGACATAAGTGGACCTACAACAGGCGTAAAATCGGAACGCGCACCGAGTGCCCTGATGTCCAGGTTAGACTGAGACGAAGACGAAGGAAGTACATTACGCCCGAAGAGATGGCCTGGCGAAAGTTATGCTTGCTAGGCTTCTCATCGTGAGTTGAGGAGGTCGTCGCACCTAGGTGCGGGACTCGGACCGCCCGACCGGCTGATTAGACTGCGTCTTGTACTTGACGCGAATCCAGGACGTATCGGACGCGTATGAAGACGAAGCGTGCGCCGGGCCCGAGGAGGTGGGTCCGCTTTGGATAAGGTTCTCAACGCGAATGAAGGTCCCGGCTGCCAGCCTACTAGTACTTGAAAGGACAAGGGGCCGACGACTCGCCTCTCAAGTGAGCAATACGCATTC